GTATTTGGGTTATTGTAAACAATGCTGCAAAAAAACATAGGGGTGCATGTGTCTCTTTATACTAGTGTTTTTATATTTTGGGGGTAAATACCCAGTAGTGCCATTACTGGGTCATAGGGTAGTTCTATTTTTGACTTTTTGAGGAACCTCCATGCTGTCTTCCACATTGGCTACACCAGTTTGCATTCCCTTCAACAGTGCCAGAGGGTTCCTTTTTCTCCACATCTTCACCAACACTTGTTGTTTCTCATGTTTTTGATTTTAGCCATTTGGACAGGTGTGAGGTGGTATCTCATTGTGTTTGCATTTGCATTTCCCTGATTGAGTGATGTTGAATATCTTTTCATGTGACCGTTGGCCATCTGGATGTCTTCTTTGGAGAAATGTCTGTTCATATCTTATTTTTTAAAAAAATACTGATTTACTTTGGGGGGGGAGGGGCAGAGGGAGAGAATCCTCGAGCAGACTCCCTGCTGAACATGGAGCCCAACACAGGTCTTGATTTCACAACCCATGAGATCATGACCTGAGCAGAAACCAGGAGCCAGATGCCCAACAAATGAGCTATCCAGGTGCCCCTCTTCTGCTGCTCATTTGTAATTGGATTATTTGGTTTTGGGTGTTGAATTATATCATTTCTTCACATATTTTGGATACTAATCCTTTGTCAGATATGTCGTTTACAAATATCTTCTTCCATTCAGTAGAGTGTCTTTTAGTTTTGTTGATTTTTTTTTTTTTTTCCCCTTTGCTGGGCAGAAGCTTTTTATTGTGATGTAGTCCCAATAGTTTATTTTTGCTTTTATTTCCTTTGCCTCAGGAAAACTACCTAGAAAAATGTTGCTATGGCCGATGTTGCTGTGTTCTCTTCAACAATTTTTATGGAATTTGGAAGGTCTCACATTTAGGTCCTTAATCCATTTGATGAAAGAAAGAGGTCTAGTTTCATTCTTTTGCATGTGGTCATCTGGTTTTCCCAACACTGTTTGTTAAAGAGACTGTCTTTTTTGCATTGGATATTCATTCCTCCTTTGTTGAATATTAATTGACCATATAATTGTGGATTTATTTCTGGGTTTCCTATTGTATTGATATATGTGTTTATTTTTATGCTAGTATCATACTCTTTTTAATTACCACCACTTTGTAGTATAACCTTAAATCTGGAATTATAATACCTCCAGTTTTGTTTTTCTTTATCAAATTTGCTTTGGCTATTCATAATCCTTTGTGGTTCCATACATGTTTTAGGATTGTCTTTTGTAGTTCTGTAAAAAATGCGATTGGTATTTTGATAGGGATTGCATTAAATATGTAAATTGCTTTGGCTAGTACAGACATTTTAACAATCCATGAGCATGGAATGTCTTTCCATTTGCATTGTCTTGAATTTTTCATTAATGCTTTTTACTTTTCAGAGTACAAGTCTTTCACATCTTTGGTTAAGTTTATTCCTAATGTATTGTTTTTGGTGCAGTTATAAGTGGGATTGTTTTCTTAATTTCACTTTCTGCTGCTTCATTATTAGTATATAGGAATGCAATATATTTTTGTAGATTTTGTATCCTGTAACTTAATTCATCAGTTTTTGTAGTTTTTTGATGGAGTATTTAGGGTTTTCTATATATATATATAGTATCATGTCATCTGCAAATAGTTTTACTTTTTCCCAATTTGTATGCCTTTTATTTCTTTTCCTTGTCTGATTGCTATGGCTAGGACTTACAGTGTTGTTTGAGAAGTGACAAAGGTGGACATTCTTGGCTTGTTTCTGATCTTAGAGGAAATACTCTGTTTTTCTTCATAGAGTATATTAGCTGTGGGTTTGTGACATTTGGCCTTTGTTGAGAGTTTTTATCCTGAATGGATGTTGAATTTGTCAAGTGCTTTTTCAGCATCTATTGAGATGGTCACATAATTTTTATCTTTCAGTTAATGTGTATCATGTTGATTTTTGTGGACATTGAACCATTCTTGCATCCTCAAAATAAATCCCACTGACTGTGGAGAATGGTCTTTTTAATGTATTGGTGAATGTGGTTCACTAATATTTTGTTAAGGATTTTTGAATTGATGTTCATCAGGGATATTGGCCTATTGTTTCCTTTTTTAGTAGTGTCTTTGGTTGTGGTATGGGGGTAATGCTGGCCTTGTAGAATGTATTTGGAAGATTTCTTTCCTCTTCTAGTTTTTGGAATAGTTTGAGAAGAATAGGTATTAACTCTTTAAATGTTTGGTAGGATTCACCTGTGAATGCTCTTTCATTAATTGGGATTTGTCTGATTACTGATTCAATTTCATGATGTAATCATTCTATTCAGATTTTCTATTTTTCCTGATTCTGTTTTGAAAGATTGTGTTTCTTGGAATGTATCCATTTCTTCTAGGTCATCCAATTTGTTGATATGTAAGTTTTCAAAATAGTCTTTTGTAGTTCTTTGTATTTCTGTGGTGTTGGTTGTTACTTCTCTTTGATTTCTGATTTTGTGTCCTCTTTTATTTCTTGGTGAGTCTGGCTATCAATTTTATCTTTCCAAAGAGCCAGCTCTTTGTTCTATTGATCTTTTCTATTGTTTTTATTTTATTTTTTGTCTCTTTCATTGAATTTCTGCTCTGATCTTTATTATTTTCTTCCTTCTAATTTTAGGCTTTGTTCTTTTTCCAGTCCTTTTTTTTGGTGTAAAGTTAGATTGTTTGAGGTTTTTCTTTTTTTTCTCCAGGTATACCTGTATTGGTATAAACTTCCCTCTTAGAACTGCTTTTGCTGCATCCCAAAGATTTTGGGTTGTTTTCATTTTCATTTATCTCCATGTTTTTTTTTTTAATTTCCTATTTGGTTTCTTCATTGACCCTTTGGTTGTTTAGTGCCACATGTGTGTGGTTTTCCAGATTTTTTTCCTTGTAATTGATTTCTAGTTTCATCCAAGGTATTCAGAAAAGATGCTTAATATGATTTAAATCTTCTTAAACTTATTGAGCTTTGTTTTGTGGCTGAACATGTGAGCTATCCTGGAGGATGTTCCATGTGCACATGAATAGAATGTGTATTCTGTTTTTTAGATGGGATGTGTTACATATATCTATTAAGTCCACCTAGTTTAAGGTGCCATTCAAGGACACGGATTCCTTATTGACTTTCTGCCTGGATGATCTATGATTGATGTCATGGGATGTTAAAGTCCTTTACTATTATTGTATTACAGTCAATGTCTCCCTTTTTATCTGTTAACATTTTCTTTAACTGCTCCATTGTTGGGTGCATAGATATTTGTTGTTATATCCTCCAGTTGGATTGGTCCTTTTATTTTGTAATGCCCTACTGTGTCTCTTGTTACAGTCTTTGTTTTGAACTTTGTCAAGTATGTATTACTACCCCATCTTTTTTCCCCCCATTTGCACGGAATATGTTTTTCCCTCTATTTTCAGTCTGTATGTGTCTTTAGGTCTGAAGTGAGTCTCTTCTAAGTAGCCTATAGATGCATCTTCCTTTTTTAATCCATTCAAACACCGCATATCTTTTATTGGAACATTTAGACCATTTACATCTTAATTATTGGTAGGTATGTACATCTTGCCATTTTGTTAATTGTTTTCTGGTTGTTTTTCTAGTTCTTCTCTGTTCCTTTTTTCTTTTACTCTTTCCTTGTGATTTTTAGTGTTATTGTTGGCTCTTTTCTATAATTTGTGTGTATTTATTATAGGTTTTCAGCTTGTGATTGCCATGAAATTCATGTATAACAACCTAACACTGTTGCTATGCTTTGCAGGATATGGGGGAGAGGGCTGCACAGTGTAGGAGGAAAGAATCCGTCCCAACAATTATATTGAACATCTCTCACTGTCAATATCAAGAACTAATTTCTAAAACACAAGTATATAAACAGGAGCCATCTAGCTTGTGGTTAACTGAAATGCATATGCAATATAGTTGTAACCGCATTCATCTTGTTTACCTCTAATTTTAAAATAATTCATTCCCTTCTGGGGTATGCAAGTGAGGAAGGGAGAAAGTGATACATCTGTTATACCAGCTGAGGCCAAGGATGTCAATGCTTCAGGAAGATGCAGGCTAGAGAACTTTATTAGGCACCAGAGGGGTTCCTTTCTCAGCCAAGATGTCGCCATTTAAGTCACTTCTGAATTTTGTTTCAAGCTTATATTGTGCAAATTCTAGTCTTGGTTGAGGATAATCTCCCAGAGTTTGAGTCACTCTCCAGACTCTTTCTATTCTGTTGTCATGAATGATCCTTGAATCCATGTGCATATCCAGCTCAAGGGTTCTTTCTTGAAGGGGTGTAGTAGAGTTACGAGTTTCAAAGGTCTGATTATACTGTTTAAAAACAATAGCCTTGGGGTACCTGGGTGGTTCACTTGGTTGAGTTGCTGACTCTTAATTTTGGCTCAGGTCATGATCTCAGGGTTGTGGGATTGAGCCCCAGTCAGGCTCCATGCTCAGCAGGGAGCCTGCTTGAGATTCTCTCTCTCTCTCTCCCCGCCCCCCACCCCATGCCTCCCCCTGCTTCTCTCTCTCTCCCAAATAAATTAAAAAAAATAAAATAAAAACAGTAGTCTTGAGTCCAGACACCAGCTTCTGAGGTCCATTTTCACAATCGTCTGGTGCTTGCTAGCAACAGTCCGTGCCTGACCCAGAAGGGGTGTATTACTCTTCAGCTGGTGGAGGAAGTGGAGGTGTGGGGAGTCTGGGAATAATGCACCACACAAGCAGGTTTGTACTGGTTTGGCTTTCTATACTGTGTTCCCCAGGCAATTCGAGTCCACGTTGCACTCTCCTCAGCGTCTCTGAAGCAGACCATCACATTTTCTAAAACTCTGAAGAATTTTCGCAAGTGAACGTTCGAATTGTTCCATATCAAAAAGGTCAAGGTCTTTATCTGGCCCTTTACTCATCTGAAAAACATCCCAAACTTCCTGGTGCTGATCAAGCAGAATATAAAGGATGTCTAATAGGGCTGCATCATGGAGACTTGCACTCTTCTCCTCACAGAGCAGAACAAAGTCCTGAACAAGAGATTCCTTTCTCTGCCAGAAGTTGATGGTCTGCAGTTGATTTTTCAGACAAAAAATCCCAGGCTTGGAGGATTGTCGTCATATCAGTCATTGGGATTTTCAAGATGGTCCTCTTGATAAACTCGGCCCAGTTTCATCCATCTCTTTGGTGTGTCTGACATCACCAGCCGTGTCTCTTGCTGCTTTAAAATTTTTCTTTATCTTTAATCTTTGACATTTTAATTAGTATGTGTCATAGTGTGAACTTCCTTGGGTTCATCTTGTTTGAAACTCTGTTTCTTGAACCCGAATGTCTGTTTTGTTCCCCAGGTTAGGGAAGTTTTCAGCTATTATGTCTTCAAATAATTGTTCTGCCCCTTTCTCTCCCTCTTCTCCTTCTGGGTTTCTTATAATGTGAATGTTTTCTCACTTTATACTGTCCAAGAGGTCCCATTAACCTATCCTCATTTAAATTTTTGTTTTTCTGTTCAGCTTAGGTGCTTTCCATCACCGTCTTCCAGATTGTTGATCCATTCTTCATTTTCCTAACGTGTTGATGCCCTCGAGTGTATTTTTCATTTGTTACTGTTTTCTTCAGTCCCGACTGGTATTTTTTATATTTTCTATCACTTGTTGAAGTTCTCACTGAGTTCATCCACTCTCCTCTCCATCCCGGTGGGCATTTTTAGGAACATTACTTTGAATTCTGTATCCGGTAGACGGTTTATCTGCCTTTCATTTAGCTCTTTCTCTAAGGTTTTGTCTCCTTTTGTTTGGAGCATATTTTTGGGTCTCACTTTGCGTTACTTTGTGTTGGCTTCTATGAATGGGGTGGAAACCTTCCGTGAAGGATTGATCTTGTGTGGGTGGCCCCCGTGTAGACCGTGTGTGCCCGGGGACCGTGGCTGGAGCCGTTGCCATCACAGGCTGGGGGTCGTGGAGCACGCTGTGCCGGGGCGAGCCTGGTGCGGTGGCTGGAACCGAGGCTGGCGTGGGCTGGGGCAGGGGCGGGTGCAGGGCTCTCCACACCGAGGGGGCCCTGGCTGGAGGCTGCAGGCGAGTCAGCCGCCAGCCTTATGGTGGCCCCAGGGCTCTGCAGGGACGGGGTGCGTGGCCGGGCGGCTGGACGTGGGGCAGGCCTGGGCTGGGGAGGTCCCTGGCCGCTCGGCGCAGGGGCTGCCCTGGCAGGGTGTCCGGAGCGGAGGTGGGCAGGGGCCAGTGGTTCCTGGAGTGCTCTGAGCACAGGGTTGCCTGTAGGGCAGCTGCCGCTGAGCCGGGCGTTGGCCCCAGGGGTCCCGGGGGCAGTCCTCTGTTGGGTGGCACGGGACCGCGGTGTCGCAGTGTGCTCTGCGCCCCTGTCACCTCGGCGAGCTGGTCGGAGCGGTTGTGCTTGCTGAGCAGGGGTGTCCCAGTGTGTGCCGTCTGGGGTCCTCTTGGGACAGCTGGGGCCGGTGGAGGCTAGGAACCTGCGGCTCACGGAGGCGACGGGCCGGCCAGGGCATCTAACGAGGAGGGAGGTAGGGGGCCGGGAAACAGGGCCCTCGGTCTGGGTCCCTTCTCTTCTCGCTGCCCTTTTAAACTGTGGCTTTTCTTCTGTGCTCACGGTCCCTCAGGAGTATCCCCCCTGCACTCCCAGCTTGGCCGGTGCTGCCTTCGTCCCGTGTCCGTCTCTCCTGCTGTTCCTCCCGCTCTCGCTCGCTCACTCTGTCTGTCTCTCGTGCAGACGCTGCTCGGTCCGCCCTCAGCTCTTCTCCCGGAGACCTTGCTCTGTCCAAGCTGGAGACTGGGTGCGTCTGTGCAGGAGGGGAGTTCGGGATCCTCTGATGTGGTCGGGTTGGACTGGAGATCTTGAGGAGCTATTTTTAACATACCGAAATGTTCCAGCACAAGGAATATCCAAGTAATTCTTAAAATGTATTCGAGGCCAAATAGAAGAGTTTACTTTGTGTGCAGGATTTATTGCTGGCTGGCAGCATGATTTCTATTAAATGGAAAACTGATCCAAGGACCTTCAAATGTTACTGGTGGAGTAGTTTTCTTAAAGACCCAGAGAAGCCAATGGCCTGTAAATGAGTTCTCAAAGTCAGCATCTGGGGCTGCAACATTTGGGAAAATGATTTTTGCTGTCATTTTAGCTTTTTTTCAATAGATAAGATTGGTATTTAGGGCAAAGTATGGTTTTTGGAATAAGACCCACGTAATAGTAATGACTGGAAAGTCATAATTTCAGTTTAAAGCCAGTTTTACTTCTACCTCTTTAGAAATTGAAGAATGACCATGGGAGCAGCCCGTCTGAATGTGGTTGTAATTTCGGTTTGGCGTGGGATGCGGGGGCGACCTTTAGAATCATCTTTCAAATATGCAGCAATACGACCAGGTTCATAGTAGGTGAATGACAAAAGTGAAATTGTTTGCATAGACTAATTTGCAGAAAATTTATGTTGGAGGATGAACAAAAAGACTCATTGGTAAGAAAGGAGAAAAGGCTATTTTCTCTACCATGACCTCCTCTCTGCTACCTGTAAGAATCCCAACAGCTGCTCCTCTGAGAGTTCTTAATTTAAAAAGGGACTTTTGCTGTGTTCCCAATTATAACCGTGACCGTATTTCCACTTACATAAGGCTTTCCTCTCTACAACTCACTCGACATACGTTACCTGGTTCGATCACTGGGGAGGCAGGTAGGGCAGACCCCACACTTAACAGAAAGTCTCTCTCGATGTGGTGGGGTGAATTCACCGCGTCTTCCGATGCGTGCTCACGTGGGCATGAACACAAATGGGAATCGGCTTTTTTTTGTTTTGTTTTTTTTAAAGATTTTATTTATTTATTTGACAGAGAGAGACACAGAGAGAGGGAACACAAGCAGGGGGAGTGGGAGAGGGAGAAGCAGGCTTCCCGCGGAGCAGGGAGCCCGATGCGGGGCTCGATCCCAGGACCCTGGGATCATGACCTGAGCCGAAGGCAGACGCTTAACCGACTGAGCCACTCAGGCGCCCCGGGAATCGGCCTTTCTTTCCCCACCAGGCAGTGCCCTCACTGAGCGGATTCTCAGACGCTGTCCCTTAAGATCGGACACCTCTTACGGATTTTTCTTTCTTTCATCCTGGGGAATGGGGGATTGACAGATGTTGGAGCCTGACTTCCGCTCTCCCAGATTAGCGCTGGGGTTCTGGCTACACCTCTTGATCTGTCCGCATGTCCGTTTCCCACCGTACAAGGCCCGCGGGCACTGGCGCAATCACGTGATTTAATGCAGCTTCTCTGCCTATTTAATAAGCGCTTGGGGTTGCTCTCTGTCAGGGTGTAGGTAAATGATAAGTGACTTTGGGTCTTCTGGAAGAGTGGAGAAGGATAAAGAACGAAGTCTGATCTCACCAGCAGGTGGTGCTGTGACAACAGCAATCAAGAGAAACCGGGTGGGACAGGTTGGGTGTCTGGGCTCCGGAGACAGGCCCTGGTGCCCCCTTCAAAGCTGGTATGCCCTATTCCCTGGGCACACGCCGAGCAGCCCGTGCTTTATCCAACACCAAACCACTTCTAGGTTCCTCGATCGGGACCTTTGAGTCTTCAACAGGACTGCAAGTTTGCTAGGCTTCTGCTCTAACCCCTTCCTCTCCCTGTCCCCGACCCTTTCCCAATCCCCTGGCCTTCCTGGAGGAAGCAGGGAATGTGGCAGGGGAGGATGCCCTTCTCTCTCATACTCACCCCGGAAAGCCCTTGGCTTCGGGGACCTTCGCAGGTTAAGCACTTGACAGTTTTATAAGCAGTTCTACCTGTAGTATCAGCTGCCACCTTGATGAGCAGAAGTGAAGTAAGGCACCCCTGTGCAATCCCAGAGCTTCCCAAGTGTGCTCTGATCCACGTGGAGCGGGGCAAAGGCGGAGGAAGGCAGGCTGCTGGTGGCTGGGGCTGGGTGTGGGAGCCTGAGCTGGTTTTGCTTCCTGGCTCGAGCACAGCACTCTGCGTAGGCTTGGGCCGTCTCGTCCGTTGGTGCCTGGGTCTCTTACTGGGCTGAGTTCATCCTTCTGTGGTCTTGGTGGTTTTCAAAGAGCATGTATACCAGTAGCCAGACCCAGAAGGAGGCATGGACGTTACCAAGACAAGCCTGGTCCACTGATCTGGCCCCCCAGCAAAAGAGCAGACAGTCCATCACTGAGTCTACACGTGGAGAACTACTACTTGCCCGGTCCCGGCGCTGAGCTAGCCAGGGACCACTGGAGGGCAGGCCCGAAAAGGAAGACAGGTCTGCCTTCACGAGATGCAGGGTTGGGGTGAAGGGGGGTGCTAGAGTCTGCAAAAGCTAGTAAGTCAGCTTGCAATATTGGATTTCCTGGTGGACTCCACTGTGCTAACGTTATGTCTGCTGGTGGTGGGGAGGTGGGCAGCCAGCTCCTGGCTTTCACTGTTCACATAAAAGGTCTAGTAACCTGTTCATGTGGCTCAAGGGGCCCCTGAGAGAACTGGAAAGAACTAGGCTTTGTGGGAGGAGTTTCCCAGGGATCGCCTCTATATAACCTCTGTCTGTCTATCCCTGCATGATCATGACAAGAAATAGAAAGGCTTTAAGACCAGCTCTGCATAGGGTCAATTTCAGTAGCTCATTGAAGGTTGGTTAACCTGTTGGGTGTTTTCCCTTTAAAAAAAAAAAAAAAAAGGGCAGAAATATCTGCCCCGAAGTTACATCCATTCATTCCAAACCCAAGCTGGGTGTGATCCTGTAGACACACCTGGGACAAAAGCAAATGGGTCCAATACTTGTAAATTTTATATTTATTATAACAAAAATTGACATGTTCATTTGTGCATTCTGCTTTAATATAGCTCTTGGTATGTAAATGATCTAACTGAACGGTATACAATCATGCTGACTGTGGCAGCAATAAGGAACACAAAGTGTCTGCAAAAGTCAAGAGGCTGGGTGGGGGCAGGAGAGGAAGGAAAAAGGGTCAGAGGCCCCTTGGGTGCAGGTTCCTTTCTAGCGGCCTAAGCTCCCCCTTATCTGAACAGAAGTGCTCTTTCGCTGCTCAGCCTCCACACTGAATGAGCTCAGGTGGGGTGAGGTGGGGGGAAGGCTCATCCGAGGGGGAGGAGGAGGAGGAGAAAAGTCCGTTGTTTAGGCTGTGTCCTTAGGCCAAAACTACAAAACATCTGAAGCGTCACTATACAACACTGAGCTATTTACAATAGAAATTTCTCAATCAACTGTTCTCTCAGAGAAAATTAGTGAATCCCAGTGACTCAAGTCACCTGACAGAGTAAAGCAACTCCTAGGAGTTAGTCTCCATATTCTACAAATGTCTATCATTTTCAAGACAAAAAAAAAAGCCTCCCCCCCCCCCCCAAGAAATACAGAATTACAATATTATTAAAATCATTTAGCACTGGCAACCCGCCCTGCCTTCCGAACAAAACAACAAAAAGCCATTTTAAAAAATATTACATTAACCGTTTCTCTGTAATATATTAAACCTTTTGTTCTTTGTCTTTACACATCTGATATGTTAGGGGAGAGGTTAACAAATTTAAATCATATTGGTAGAGCATCACTAGAAGAGTGGTAATGATTAAAAAAACAAACGACAGAAGGAGAACCTACGGACGAGGTGCAAGGACAGGTGCGGACGTGGGAGGGCGTGGAGTGAACCCCTGGTTTAACGTGAGCCTGGGAGACTCTTGCGACTCCGTCTTTCTCGGTTAGTTTATTTGGGAACTAGCGCCCAGGCGGGTCAGAGTGGCGTGTCACAGTAGTCCGGCAGCGGGTCCCCCGGGCCCGGCGGCGGCGGCTGCCGCTTCATCATCTCCTTGACCTCCTCCTCCAGCTCCGGGGGGATGATGAACTGATCGTCGGGGTCCGGCTGGGCCGGCGCCGCGAAGTAGCCCCCGGGCTTTCGGAGCGGCGCGTCGGCCGCCACCTCGATCACGTTGTGGCTCCTTTCCTGCGGCGCCACGGAGCCGTTGGCGCGGCGCCGCCCGGTGGTCCCCGCGGCCGGCCCGTCCGCCCTCCGCGGCGGCCCCGGCTCGTCCTCGTTGGCGCTGACGACGATGCCCTCGTCGCTGGCGTCGGCCGGCGCGGGCGGCAGGCGCTGCGGCTCCTTGTCCTTGGCGCGGCCGCAGTGGATGTCCACTTCCACCTCCACGCGGCTGCCGTTGCTGAAGACGCCGGCGATGGGCGCCTCGTCGTCGCTGTCCAGGCCGTTGTCGGAGAGGGCGCTGGAGAAGGTGGCGCTGGACAGCTGGCGCTGGAAGGGGTGGGCCGCGCCCACGGGGTGCAGCGCGCAGCGCGGCTCGCTGGCGCACGCGGGGCTGCTCTCGGCCAGGGCGCCGGCCGGCGGCTCGTCCGAGGCCGTGGAGCCCACCTCGCTGCTCATCTCGGACGTGGACAGCTCGCTGCTCATCTCGGACGCCAGGCCGCTGCTGGAGGACGGCACGCCCGGCGCGTCGGCCGGCCGCTCCCTGAGCCCCGCGCTGCCGGGCGGCGGGAAGAGGCCGGGGCTGGGCGGCGGGCCGGCGCCCCCCGCGCCCAGCTCGCAGCAGCAGAAGCTGTCCTCGGGGACGCTGAGCTGCACCACCACGGCGCTCAGGCTGTCGTGGCAGCCGTAGCTCTGCGCCAGCGTGCACAGCTTCTTGGCGGCGGCCAGGGCGTCGGGCACGGGGCGCACGGCCGCCACCGCCTCCTCGGGCGACAGGCTGTCCCACAGGCCCTTGCTGCCCAGGAGGAAGAACTCGTCCTGGGGGGTCAGGGGCACGGACTGCACGTGGGGCCGCGGCACCACGCTGGGGTGGAGGAAGGTGTAGCCCAGGATGCGCGTGGACTCCGTCACTCCGTTCACCTTGCCGTCCTGGAAGGGGAGGGGGCCCGGATGGGCATTAAGGCACGTGGGAGGGGCCGGACTCCCTGCAGCCGCGCCCTCGGGGCGGGCCCGGCGTCCTGTGGGGAACCGGAGAGCGGAGCAGCGGCCCGAGGGCCCAGCTTGAGGGAGCACCGCCTACTGTCCCAGGACGGAGCCTCACTCCGGGGTTTCCCAGCAGTGCCATCCGGGGCCACGCAGTCCTTTGTGGTGGGCGCCGTCCTGTGCACTGGAGGACGGGGAGCAGCACCCGTACCTGCTACGTGCCCAGAGCCCTCTCCACCCAGCCGTGAAGACCAAGTGTGCCCGCGGGGCCGGGGGTGCGAAGAACCCCGGGTGGAAAAAACCACTCCCTGCCTGACTCAAACGGGAACAGGAGCGAAGTACCAAATTTACACTGACCCACGGACCTCGGAAGACAGGATGGCTACGTTCCTGAGGACCAGAACCAGCACTGTGACCTCCGGGGTGGCCCCCTCAGGCCCCGAACCCCCTGCTTCCCGGAGGGGCTTGTGAGCATCAGCTGAGCTAAGGCCATGAAGCACTGGGCGGAGCCTCTGACACACGGAGGCCCTGGAGAAGTATTTTTTTATCCTATAGGTGAGGTCTTCAGACCGCTCGTACAGAGGATTTGCTTTGTGACCTTGCAGACTTGGACTGTTGCTGGTTTCTGCCATGACCCCGGCCCCAACCTCCCCGCCACCCCGAGGAAAACCGTGCCCTCCTCACCTCGGTGATAATGGCCTTGTGCTGTTTAATTCTCTTCCGCTCCTCTTCGCAGCTCATGACGTACGATCTGGACAGAGGCAACGGCTTCCCGTTCCGACAGAGAACTGTTTGGCACTTGCCCACATTAGCAGAGGTCAAGGTGAAGGATCCTCCTGGGTCCATGGGGTCATGCTTGATATGACAGAGCACAGCAGCGCCTCCAAGCTTCTGCCCGGCCGTGCCAAGTTTCCTGGAACCCAAAGAGGGGTAAAACCCAGATGCGACCGGGCACGTGTCAGCTTGGCTAACTCAACAGGAGGGCTAGGAGGAAAAACGGAGCCCGGGGGTTCCACTCGGCCTCTCTCACCAAAGCAAGCTCGACTTCTCCAAGGAGGAGGGCCCATGTGTGGAGTCTGCGCCCAGCTGGGGGAATGTCCCTTTACCACCCAAGGAGCCCTTGCCTGCTGCTCCCTCATCATGACGCTCCTAGGACAGAAGGGGAATGACTACTTCTCTCCCCGTCCACCTCTAAATCCCCCCTGCCCCCGCCAGGGGACTGAGGGAGCATTTCAACACGTGTAACTGTACTCCACACACAGACATATGCACTTCAACATGACCTGGCCCCCCAACCCTCTTCTCCTTTGTAAGGATGTTTGCTGGTATGAATGAGCCTTTAATTTCTGGACCATTGATGCTCTTGCCTTATGTGGGGAAGACTTTCTATACCATGTTACCTATTCTAGAATATTCACAGGAAGGACATTCTAGTACTCAAGCTCCAAAGTGCTGGTGATATACCCCTTTTATTCATGACCCCTACTCTACAGACGGAGTACACAAAGCACAAGTTCTGACAAAAGGAGCCAAGAACTCCTACCACAAGCCTCCCAGGGCCCTGCTGATCCTGAGTGGTGCTGAAGCAAGAAGGCTGAGACAGACTCCTCTGTTTACCAGGACAGACCTGCAGGTCCTGTCAGCTCCTATCAATGCTCTAGGTTAGGCGAGCAGCAGGACCAGCAATGGAAACCAGGGCTGCCTACTTGAGTAAGTTAGGATGTCAGGCACAAGAAGACAGTTCCTCCAAAGGCTGAAAAGATCACTCCAGATCCCATGTCATCTTAACAGGGAAAATAAGGGGCATACAAATGGCCCTGGAGATGGGTCAACAACTTGGGTCTGTAAGTGCAGACCTGTGGCCATCCCTGACCAGACAGGGCTGGAGGCCCGACCAGGGAAGCCCTGCTTGCTCTCTTTCCAGGCACAATGATTCCTCTGAGCAAAGCCAGCAACTGCTTGGTACCTGGGGAACGGAGCAGCTGGGAAACAGAGTTTGAGTGCTCATGTGTCTATAAAAAGTAGACCTCTTTGGGGGGAGGGTGTGCACATGTTTGTGCATATGATGATATGTGTTTGCTTTTTTCCCTAGGATACGATGGTGATAAAAACAGAAAAGTAGATAGATGTGGCTGGTTGTTGGAACATTCTCTGGAGCCTTACTGCCCCAGGTCAAATTCTGGCTGCGCCATCTACTAGCTCTTAAGAGAGATTTGTTTTACTTCTCTGTACCTCAGTTTCTCATCAGTAAAGTAAGTACATTTCACCCAGTGAGATAGTTAATGTTACTGTACGGCATGTGGGGTATTTAGAACAATGACTGGTACATATTAAGGGCTCACTAAATATTACCTATCCGTATTTAATTGCTAATGGTATGTGCCCACTAGCATCTGAAAGAGGGGAGTCTAGAAGCAAAGAACCTCCTTGTAGCTGTCTCTACCGAGCTCTTCAAGAGGAGCTATCTATGACTGAGGGTAACTTTAAAACTGGCACTCCTTAGCAGGTACTTTTTCTACCCCTCTTACAAAGCTACTTCCTCTGGCAGAGTATCTGGCAGAGAAAAAGGAGAGCTCATCGTTGTTCTCATGACCTTTAGCACACTCCCTGGTTCCTGGGCCCACGGGAGTGTTTGCAGTACAGTATGAATAGACCATTCCTTTAAAGCCATTCAAGTGACATAAGGAGGAGCAATTCTTTGAAGGAGGGAATGCTTGTAACATTCATGCCTAAGAGTTACACAGTTTCTACAGTGACCAAAAGCTCTACACTAAATTTGTCATTGACTCGGCCTCCTACAAAGTTGTCTGAACACCAGTATGTCTCAAGGGGACATGGTCCATCCCTGCTACTTACGCAAAACCAGCTCACCTGAACGCCTCTTGCACACCCACATGCCACAGCAGTGCTTTGAGACTATCCGGCAAACACTCAAAGAAGAGCAAGAAAACACAGAGCAGGGACTGGAAGTTTTACCTTTGCATAACAATGAACGTATTAACCATGTATTCTTCTTCGTTTTTTGTTTTCTGCAGCTCTTCGGCCAAAATGTCACTCATAGTGCACTGGAGGAGGTAGGGTACCTCCACATTACGGTCTCCGTCAAACACCCCGTACAGGGCCTCCCGGCTGTCACAGAAGTTGTTCACAGACAGGGCCGCGACACACAACCTGCGAGGCAAGAGTGAAGTGTATCGAGTCTGCTCATCTTTCCTTGCCCAGCCCCACACTTTTAACAGTCTTGTCTCTTCCTTCATGACCTCAGATGGGGGAAGAACAAACTAAGGTAAACTCATCCCGGCTAAATTCTGTAAAGCAAATCAGTCTGATTAACACTGATACTTGACATATGCCCCACCCCCCCCCCATCTTCTGATTTGATTTTTAAATGGCAGAGAAAGAGATAGAATAGGAGGTATGGGAAATAATAAAAGATTCTGAATCTGTATGTCCATATTCATTCATAAACATTAAGGTTGGGCAAAAATGGAGTAACAACTGAAACACTGGGACCTTTTGTATGTTATTTTCCCCCCCTCCCCCAAACAACTTAAAAAGGCAGGGGGAAAAAAACCACCTATGGAACAATAGTATTCAGACACTGGCTGATAAGAAGTGCAGGTCAGGGAGCAAGCATAAAGCTTGCCCAGCTTATTGCCTGGAGGAAGTTTCTGGGCTGCAGGCAGAGCAGTGGAGGTGGGCGTGTGCTCTGGAGGCCTGCAGACACTCCAGGCCTTTGCAGAACCACGTTGTTTCCAAGTAACTGTGGCCCATGCACTCTCCAAAATTAAACACAGAGGGGAAAAAAAAAAAAGGCAGACAAATAAGAGGCCAGGGCATCAGTGAGTGCCAGGGCAACCTCAAGCAGCCAAATACACAGGGAACTGGAGTCTTCAAAAGAGGGGAGAGATAGGAAAAACCTTTGAAGAATTTAATGGCTGAAAAGATTTCAAATCTGATGAAAACTATAAACCTATAGATACAAGAAGCTCAACAAATAGTAAGCAAAAGAAAAAACTGCTGAAAATCAGGAATAAAGGTGGGAGAGTAGGAAGAGGAACAAAGACACGAAGGACAGCAACCAATGCAGAAGACAGTGAAGCAACATCTTTAAGGTACTGATAGTAAAAAAAAAAACCTGTCAACCTGGATTTCCAAATCAGTGAAAATTGCTTTCAAAAAGGTAAGGTGCAATGAAGATGTTTTCAGATGCACAAATAACTTACTACCAAAAGACTGGCAGTATAAGAAACATAAAAGGAATACATGAAGCAGAAGAAAGTACCAGATGGAAATCTGGATCTACATAAAAGAATGAGGTGTACAAGAAATGACAAATAGATGAGTAAATATAAAACTCATCTGAGAAATCATTTTCGAACAGTGGTTCTCAATGGGGGCAATTTTACCCGCAGGACCCATTTTTGATTGTCACAGTTGGGAGAGGCCAGGGATGCTGCCAAACACCCTCCAATGCATAGGACAATGCCGCCCTCCCTGCCCAACGATATTACCTGGCTCAAAATGTCAATAGCACTGAAGTTGAGAAACACTGCTTTAGAAAATGACTAAAGTAAAAATTATAACCATGTATTTCGGGGTTTATAACATAAGTAAAACATGAGAATACTGCAAAGACCAGGAGAGGGGAAATGGAAATACACACTGTAAGGTTCTTATATGTGAAGTGATAGATTAACTTATTTGAAGGTAAACTGTAATTAAAGGTTATACTACAAACCCTAAAGGCATAATAATGAATAAAGGAGATAAAATGGAATCATAAATACAAAAGAATGAAGAAAAAGAAAATAAAGAACAGATGAGACAAATAGAAAACAGCTGGCAGATTTAAACCTAACCATATCAATTTCAATAAATATACAAGTGGTCTAAATACTGCCCCAAAAGACAAAGTCAGACTGGATTAAAAAAAAAAAAGGATAAAAGATCTATGCTAAACTAAAGATGATACATTAAGATCAAAGTATATTACAGAACAAAGAATATTCAGTTCATTTTAAATGTTTACACACTTAAGACAACTTTGAAACACATGAAGCAAAACTGATAAAACTAGGAGAAACAAACCCATTATTATAGTCTCTCAGCCACTGTCAAGTAGATAATCAGTAAGATATTCAAGACTTCAACATCAACTTCATCTAATTGACACCCTACCCCAATAGCACCAGCATACTCATTTTTTCCAAATGCAGAGAATATTTACCCAGAATATTCTAGGCCACAAAAAGTCTCAATAAATTTAAAGGATTCAAGTCATTCAAAATACATTCTCCAGTCATACTGGAGAAATTGCTTAGAAGGAAATGTATAGCTCTAAACGCTTATATTACAATATTAATGTTCTAAGCTCAAATCAAGAAACTAGAAAAGAGCAAAACAAACAAAGCAAGCAGAAAGAAAATAATAGAAACAAATAGGGAAAAACAAACTAGAAAACAAATAGGGAAAAATCAACAAGACCAAAAGCTGGTTCTTTGAGAATATCAATAAAATTAATAAACCTCAAACCAAACTGATCAGTATAAAAAGACAAATTACCAATATCAGGAAGGAGAGCCATTACTACAGATCCTACAGATTTTAAAGCATAATAATATGAACAAGTTTGTCAAACGTGAAAACTAGACGAAAGGGATAAATTCCTTAAAAGACTTAAATTACCAAAGTTCATTCTAGAAGAGATAGATAATCCCATAGCAAAGAAACAGAATGTGTAGTTAGAAACCAAAGAAAATTCCAGGCCCAGATGGCTTTTATTGGTAAATTCTACCAAACCTTTAAGGAAGAAATATCAATTCTGTACAAACTTTTCAAGAAAACTAAAGAAGAGGAAACAGTCCTCACCAATGAGGCCAGCATTACCCTGATATCAAAGCCAAAGACATCACAAGAAAAGTATAGGCATGAGCAACAAATTACCAGCAAATTGAATCCAGCAGCATATGAAAAGGATAATACATCGGGACCAAGTAGAACTTATCCTGGGCATGCAAAGCTGATTCAACATTCAAAAATCAATGTAATTTACCACACCAACTGACTAAGGAAGAAAACAAATGGTCATCTCAATTGAATGCAGAAAAAGCCTATGGCAAAAACTTTTAGCAAAGTATGATTAGAAGGGAATTTTCTTAACGATAAAGGGTATCTACAAAAATACCTTCAGTAATCATATTTGATGTGAAAGAATATATTCTCACCAAAGATATATGGATGGATGATAAATGCATGGAAAGATGATCAGCATCATTAGTCATCATGAAAAGCAAAATTAACCCACAATGAGCTATCACTATCAGAATGGCCAAAACTGCCACCACCACCTTATAACAGGAAGCACTGGTAAGGATGTGCAACTAGAATTCTCACACATTATGGCTGGGAATGCAAAATTGGAAAGGAATCTGGTTAGCACCTCTTCATAAGAAGCAAGCCTGAAAAGCTTGATTACAATTCTCAGGAAAATCAATATTTGCACCTGAGACAAGGAAGAAAAAGAAATTGAAATTGAGATGGACAAGTCCTGGCAGCAAGACAAGCAGCTGACCTCACAGGGAATGAACATGAAACTCCTGCCAACCTAATTTATTGTTTTTTAAAGATTTATTCATTTATCTTAGAGTGTATCATGAAAGCGAGTGTGTGAGCTGGGGGGTGGGGCGGGTGCAGAGGGGGAGAAATCCGTAAGCAGACTCCCCGCTGAGCACAGAGCCCCACGTGGGGCTCAATCCCAGGACTGGGAGATCATGACCTGAGATGAAATCAAGAGCTGGCCGCTTAACCGACTAAGCCACCCAGGCGCCCCCTGCCAAACTAGTTTAAGATTGTAAGAAACAGCTCCATGAACCACTAATCAATAACAGAAGTGACTGAATATGGACAATCAAGGCTACTTCTCCTTCAATACTATCCCCTGTTTTGCTCGGTAAACAGGCTTCAAAGGCCGACTTTTCCAAAGGGCAGGGATGCATTTCAATACTTAGGCCTTCTCCATACCCTGGAGTCTCACATAGACTGAATGTGTCAGTTACACTGTATCCTAGCAACATCTCTCACAAAGAGAAGAGTATGTGATGCCAAGCAGGGCTCAGCTTACTGTTCAACGTAAGGCTTGAGGTGGCCTCACTTTAGGGAATCCTGCTCAGATCAATGTGACACGAGGGAAGTGTGTGTTAGCACTGAGCATCTTCCCCACTAAAGAAGGGAGGCGGGCTGGAGGCGCTTCTCACTCCAAAGTTTCACCCACTTGTTTTTCACCCCTGAGGCTTCAGTGTATCCATGGCTCCAGACAGCTGGGGCTCCAGATGCATCTCCTGCAGAAGGCTGATCAATCTTGAAACAGCGGATATTACTAACAAGAGAAAAGAAAGGGATGGGAATCATTAAAGTCAAAGATGTGTGAAATGCTACCTTCATTTGAGAGATGAAAAACACCTGCTAAGCACTCTGTACTTACCATTTGTTTAACATGTCTAAAATATTTATCAGCAAGAACTAGCTACTCAACAAAGTGAAAATAAAGGGGCATGAAAATTAGTTTTTATCAACATCCTAGGGTGGTAATTTGAGACCTTTACACATCACACTTCGATGGCTGCTGTCTCCTGGGCATGAAAAAGACCGCTCTCAACCTTAGTATGAGAAATCATTATGTTGGGTGTATTCTTACGGGCTGAACACCCAGATTTGAAAAGTACGAAACCTAATCCACAATCATATTGTATTTGAGAGAATTCTGCAACATTCATCCTCAAATCCAATTTCTGCCCATATCACCCCGTACAATATTTCACAAATACTGAGGACTTGTCATCCCTGAAGCTTCCAATTCTTTGCTCATTTGCAGCCATTCGTGCTAAGACATGAAATTATGAAAGGAGGAGTATTTCAATAAATTACACATTAACACTGTGAATTAAACTGGGAGACAAGTCATCTCACCTCGCTGTCACATGCCATAACTGGTCCAACAGGACCCAAGACAAATAATGAAAGTGTAAACTCTTGAATGGGGTTTATTAAAAAACACAAGTATTCAGTGCCCTCAAACAGGAAGTCCTACAGATGTGAAACAGTTTTTTAAAAAGGCTGGCTACCACACGGTGAAATAAATCCTACTTACTTATAAATTGCCACTAGTTTTTCCCCTCTATGACTTCTACAAGAGAAAAAGCTTACATATAATCTCTTAACACAGACACTTCTGTCATGACCCCAAGAATTTAACTCCAAAATACAACAAACACTGAATACCCTTCAACTCTAAGAAGTAAATCTATACCTAACTGTATTCACTTTGATTCTAGAAATAGATGATTGCAATTTCTTTGAAATTTAAAAATATTTCGTGAAAGAAAAGTTTCTACTCTCAATTACCAGCAAACATTCACTCTTCCCTTTATCCTACACTGGAAAAGTGCCAACAGAAAATCCTGAAATAAAACTAATACCTTATTTCACAGCAGAGCTATATATCCTCTTTTCAAAGTTTTCAATCCTAACAATAAAAGAGAGGCATTTAAAAAGACAGTCTGCCATTATCTGCTATTCATACGACCTGGCACCAGATTTCATCCCTGCACAATGGTAAGCAAATGAGAAGCGTTTCTTAAGGCCTACCTAAGGTTCTCATGACATCTTCGCTGCCTTTCTGAATTCCAGAGAATTCATTTCTAAAGACATTTATACTTTTTATAGAACACAGAACCTTCAAAGAAATAATTCCATTTCCTAGCCTGAAATTAAAGAAAAAGTAATCCTTAAACTACCCTCTCCCAATCCCTTCTGGTTAAGTGGGGGTTTCGCCCTCTCTGCCTAACTGAACAGTGTGGCTGAGAAGCGGTCCGAAATGACCTGAATGTCGACTCTTGTACCTCTTTAAACGAGTCTGGGAGAACATGGGAGCTGGAGCTCACACAGAGGAGCCACCACATGCCCGATAAACAGGCCAAGCCTCGAGAAGCACAAGAAATACATTAGATACGGAAGCTCTCCCAAGTTAGGAAGAAGCCATAGCCTTCCCGCTGTTAAACAGAAGGCAACATCTTTAACATAAAAGAGTTACGATTTCATTGTTACCTTTTTAAAATCTAGGACCACATGTGTTTCTTTGTAGTTGCTCAGGCCAGTTCAGTAACATGTTCACTGCAGAGACTTGAATAGATAGATTTTTCTTACACATGTATAATAGTGGGGTCATTCTATATATGTGGTTTTGCATATTTTCTAATTACGTCATGAACATTTCCCCATGACATTTTATGTTCATCCTAAAGATAATTAGATATATCTTGATGACTACCTCTGTGCCTAAAATGAGCACCACATTTCTGATTATTTTTTAGAAATAATAGAAACAGAAATAGAAAACCTTGGTCTAAGTATGTGAATATTTTTAAAAGCTTGATACAGAGTCAATAGCTTTTAAGAAAAGTTATGTCAATTTACAGTACTCCAGCAGCACCAATGTGAGGGAGGAAAATGTTATTTAAATATTTAATATTTCCTTGATATACTGAGATTGAACATCATGGTTTCATGTACCTATCTGTACTTCTTTTGTGAAATGTTAATGTTCTTTGCTTGTTTGCTGTTTGAGTACTTTTCTTATAAGAACATTTTCTATCAAGAACACTAATGCTTTTATTTTTGTTTTTTGTTTTTTTTGCCAGTGTTTCTTCTTAAGAAGTTTGTCATTTGCCTTTTAGATTTACTCTTGATTATTTCTGGAAAGATATTTCAAGTTTTTCTGTATAAAACATACTTTTAAATATTTATAACAAATATCAAAACCAATCTATATATATTGATTTCTCCTCTTGTGATCCCTGCCTCCCACCCCCCCCACCCCGTCTACATTTTTTGGCCTAAAAAGTCATATATGATTTTTTCTTACTTTTAGAAATTATTTCATTTTATAGAGTTAACGCTAATTTAGCTGGAATGTATTTTGGTGTGTAGTACAAATTCAACTTTTTTCTCCAAACAGCTATTTCCATTTATTAACTAATTTTGATATATTTTTAATACAAAATTTCATATATTTGTAATACTCAAAAATTTACCTGTATAAAGATGAAATATATATTGATAATCCATGCACTCTTAGTTCTGAGAAGTCCCTTAGCAAGTATGTAGGCCATCTTCCCCATCACGTAGGTGAGAAAACTAAGGTCTGTACAGACTGAGGGATTTGGGCCAAGGCTTCACATACTGACTAACGGTGGAGAGTGTCTAGGTCCCCTGTGGCTTTCCTACAACACTCTACTTAAGCAGTATTATTCAATTATATATTGAAATCAATTAAGTACCTAAAACCAACAGGCACTAATTAGGCCAATTCTATCCAGGAATCACCTTGAGTGGTGTTCAAATTCTGGCTTGCACTAAAAGCCTAGGATAATATTAATAGACTACTAATGCGACTCTTTTTAAAAAAATTCTCCTTTTCAGTTTTTTCTAAGATAATGGAATACGACTTTTAGCAGTAGACAGTATAACAGGGTTTAAGCATAAATGGCATACATAATGACTAGTGTGTATCCATGTCCAAGACTTAGTTAAGACCGGCTGCAAAAAAATTCTGCGAGAATTCAGAAAAGTTTCAAGAAGGTAATGAAGACCATCCATAATCCTATTATCCAGAGAATAACACTATTGTAACATTCTGTTTTATATCCTTGTGGGCATTTTCCAGGTGTACACGCCCAATGCACATATATTTATTTTGCAAAAAAGTGGGAACATACCGTACAAATTTCTCTGTCAACATTCTCATTTAACATCATATGTAGAGATCTTTAGAGTTAGTAATGTAACTCTACATCATTGTTTTTAATGGCTATATAATATTCAATTGGGAAGCATAATTCAATTCTCTTGACATTTAGAGGTCTGTGATGAAAATTTTTTAAAGACATCTTTTCTAATGAGGTTTCCTTTAATGTTTTACACAGTGAACCTGTAATTCTCTATCGACATCAAGAATGAGACCGTATCAAAGAATTCTTTCCCCAAACAAGAAGATAATTTAGCAGGATCTAACTACCCCACACTCCCACTTTTGCTTAAATAATCTGGACTTCAGTTCCACATTGTGCATTTTCCCCACATTATGCATCTCTTTCAAAATCCTTTCATAACATTTGCATTAAGCATCACACCATGTTATCAGTAACTGAGATGTAAGTTTACATCTTGGCTAGTCATTGCTCTCCCCTTGTCTTTCTGTCCTCTTTCCCTCTTTATACTCATTATTCTTGTTCTCTTTTTGTCTGGATACTTCCTCAAAAACTTTCTGACAGGACACCTGAGTATCCAACTATCTGAAATTGTTTTTGGCCCTCCATGATGGTGAACTATAGGCTCACAAATCACCTCAAACATGTGTAGATACAGCTAATAAATCAACGGGTCCTTCATATTCTGTTCAATGTTTTCACTAAGTTATAAATCCCATTGTCAGATGGGGCTGCCGAGCGTCACAAAATACTTACTTCAGAAGTTCCAAGGTTTTGTGATCGAGGGCAAGTCGGGGGTTTCCAGTCAGGTCTAGTTCTTGTAGTTTTGGAGGCAGGTTTTCTGGTAAAGTGACTTCGCTTAGCTCATTACAGCTCAGGTCCACGCACTGAATGAATGAGGGGAAACAGGAAGTGAGGGCCTGGACAGATGGTTCAGGTGGTTCTATGCTCCTACCCTTTGCCCTGAGAATCCGTCGGACCATTCACTACACGATGCTGGCCAAATGCAGAAAAATTACGTTGTCTGCTACCCTCCCATAAACACTTAAAACAGATTTTGCTAAATGCAGCTAAAATGTTTACTGTCTTTGACTAATGCAGAAAATCTGTGTTCTTTACTCTCCCCATCTTTATCCTTTTAAGCTGATCTCTACATTAAAAAAATAAGCATTAACTGAAGATCCTAAGCATAGTTTTTCTTACTGCTCACAAAAATCTCTGCACCTGTTATGACCATAAGGGTTACAGTTCTAACATCAAAATGCAACAGTGAAGGGCTTTCTTAAACCAAAAAACTTGCAACATGAGGAAAGGCAGGAAAACATACAAAATGAGAAGATAATTCAAAAGAAGCTAAATAAGAAATTGGTAAAAGATGAGCTGGTGCACATGCCTAGTATATGCAAGGGAAAAAGGCACAAGTCACATATGGATCCTGCCCTCCAGGCACCCACTACCTGGACTCTCCAACAGCTCCTGTCTAATCTCATTTGGAAAACAACCACAAAACGGGTCAGCATATTGATTAGAACAAAAATTATGTGCTATCTGTGAATGGGAATAATACCTTCTTTCTCACAAAACCTATGTAAGGCTTAAATGAGATAAGCCCTAAAATGAGGTGCTGCATTTGCGTGATAGGAGCAGGGAACCAGGGTAGAAGACAGCTCGCCATGTGCAAGAGAGAATAAGAGTAATTGGCAATTTTTCTGGATAGCAGAATATGTAACCCACAATTCGGCAGAATGGGTAGGAAGCATTCAACTATCTGGCTTGGGGTGGCAGCTTATTATAATTTAAGAAAATGCCTCAAGAGCCTATTAAAGATCTTAAGATGGTTTGAAAGGCAAATTGCATCCGAGAATTTCAGAATATTAAAAGTAGACAAAATCGTTTTTATTTGGAAAAATTCTTAAGTCTATTATAGATTGGGGAGGGACAGAGACTGAATAAAATGAAAACCTGCATTTTTGGAGAAATAGATTCTCAACTGACTTCAAATAATGCAATGTTTCCATACAAATTATTTTATACCCTTGCTCCCAAACAGAAGCAATGATATAAAATTATATGCAATCTAAAATAATTATTTTGGGGGGCACCTGGGTGGCTCAGTCGTTAAGCGTCTGCCTTCGGCTCAGGTCATGATCCCGGGGTCCTGGGATCCAGCCCCTCATCAGGCTCCCTGCTCCGCGGGAAGCCTGCTTCTCCCTCTCCCACTCCCCCTGCTTGTGTTCCCTCTCTCGCTGTCTCTGTCAAAAAATAAATAAAATCTTTAAAAAGAATAAAAATGATTACTTTTTATTATGAGAGGATTATAACCACATTACAAAAAGTTGGACCAGCAGAAACGCTTAGAAAACTTGCCTTAAGTATAGCACCCTAACACAACCAGGGTTACTATTCTATATTCTTGCAGCCTCATTAATATGAACCCAAACTTTTAAAAAACATAAATGTAGGCACAATGTCATCACATTTTACTTATTCCATACCTGCACTCCCATCCCTTTTGATAGCCTTAATACTCTAAGTACAGAAATTCACTTAACCTAAACATTAATAGGGAAATTGTCCTCTCCTTTTTCTTCTGTTTTTCCACTTATAATGGTTCCATCAACAGTCAACTGGACTTCAGTGAAAAACTGATTAATACTGATTAATGACAGGCTATTCCATCAGGATATACATCAGCACAGGGAAGATAAATGGGATCAGCACAACGTGCCGAGTAGTGATGAAACCCAAGCTTAAGGGCTGGCTGATGCGTAACTTAGAACAAGTGATTGAAAGGGCTGGCTGATGCATTGCAGAAACAAATTCAGGTCAGAGCATGCCCTACAGGGAAAGACTACAGACCTTTTAGAACATCACTGACTTTTATGAAATTGATAAGCAACGTTTTTCTCATGTTACCTAATGACTTAAACTTTCACAGTTCTGCAGTTGTAACTGCTCATTGTTTAAATTACAAAATTACAAAATGAGTTCAGTAGGGTATTTATTTATAAAGACAAGGCTGGCGGTATCTTTATAAATAATCCTCTTAGGCGGTGCTCATCATCATCACGACCCTCTGCCGCCACCACCCGCCCCCCCCCCCCCCCCCCCCCCCCCCCGCCGACCCTTAATTTTCTGCAGCCAGCTCCTGTATCCTGTCCAACCGCATCAGGTCTCCCGGGAGGCCTGGGACCGCATCCTGACTCTGCTCTAGTCTCGCTTCCCTCTGACCCACTCCCCACCGTGCTGTCAGGGTGACTCTGACGTGCTTTATCCCATCTGATCACACTCCGGCTTGTCTTTCACTTGCTCCCTACCGCCTTCCAATCTGCCACCAGACTCCTCAGCATGTCAAATAAGGCCCTTCATCTGCACCTTTCACCACCTGCTTCCTCGCACTCTATATTCAACTGCGTCAAACTCAATTCCAGTTCCTGCATGTGTCATGTTCTCACTTGAGCCTCTGCACAAACTACTCTCTGTGACTGGGCCTCTTCAAGCTTTCCCTGCCTCTCACCTGGTAAAATCTTCCTCATGCTTCTAAGTCTCAACTCAGTGCCAATTCCACTAGGACCCCTGCTTCAACTGATGCCCTTGCTTATTTATTCCTTCCATCAGACTATGATCCTGGGAACAGGCGCTGCGGCTTCTCCTCCCGTGTCCGGGGTGCTGTGTGGCACAAAGAGCGGTGCCCAACGAATACTTTCCTTCCAATGAGGAGCCAAAGAACAGCCAATTGCCTGGGAACGGGTAGACAATTATTTGCTGAACGAATACACGAACGGATCTTCTGAGAAGGCCCTCCAGTAATTCAGTCAGCTAGGATGGGAACTGAGGCACATGTGCTTAGATTAAATTCCGTCTGGAGTAAGTCGCACCCCAATGCGACACTGTCTTTAGTGGCAAATTGTGCTGCACACTGAAGGAGGTTTGTTCATAACAATTACAGGATGCTGGTACCTGGCGCTACCTACTGGCATTCACATAAATAGTGAGTGCTCCATTTATAAGTACTATTTCCTATTCTTTTAACAGTTCTCAACAAACACTTGTTAGCTGAGCGAGTGTAATGGTTGCCACTGGGAAAACAGAAAATTGGGGGGGTGAGACTGGAGAAAAACACAGTACTTGCACAGTCTATGTTATTTAATGTATGTTTCTCTATTGTTTAATGCGCTAAAACTTTCTTGAAAATACGTTGCTAAACAGAATGTTAAATTTGCCTACCACATAACTAACAAAATTACCTTTCCCTCTCAGGCCTCTTCTAGGACATAGCTTGCAAAAGTTATTTGGCTATCCTACAAAATTCTGGTAAGAATACTGAAAACAGAATTATCCAATCCTCGGAAAAAGTGAGATAACTCATAGTTGGAGGAACTCATGACTTAGAGGAAAATTACTGCTAATTCGTTTAGCTAAGAGCACAGGAAAATAATCAGTGCATCTTAAAGAGAACTGACCTATCATTTAAGCATAGTTATTACCAAAGCTCCAATAGCTTTATTATAATATTTTCCTCACAAAACATTACTAAAGACATAGGCGTATCCATTTTTTTATAATCTTTTTTTTTTTTAAGATTTTATTTATTTTGAGAGAGAGAGAATGAGAGACAGAGAGCATGAGAGGGGGGAGAGTCAGAGGGAGAAGCAGACCCCCTGCCGAGCAGGGAGCCCGATGCGGGACTCGATCCCGGGACTCCAGGATCATGACCTGAGCCGAAGGCAGTTGCTCAACCAACTGAGCCACCCAGGCGCCCCTAGGCGTATCCATTTTTAAAAAAGATTTATTTATGTATTTTAGAGCGAGCGAGCGAGCACATGAGTGCGGAGGCAGAGGGAGAGACAGAATCTCAAGCAGACTCCTCACTGAGTGCAGAGCCTGACCTGGGGCTTGATCCCAGGACTGAAACCAAGAGTCGGACGCTCAGCTGAGCCACCCAGGTGCCCCGGGCATATCCACTTTCGTAGCAGTGTGTGTTCTGTTATCTGCCCGTAACTGCCCGCGTTGCCCCCACACGGCAACTTCACCTCCTGGCTCTGGGCGAGCCGCAACGGCTTGCGTCAGTCTCGAGAGCACAGCTAGCCCGCCACCTCGGCCATGCTGCCCGACGGCTCTGCCAGGGGCCGGCGGGGCACTCCCACTCACCTCTGCACTCCCTGGCCCTCACGGGGCGAAAGCTGCTGGTGTAATTATTTCTGTAATTACTCAGACATGTATATTGTTTAAACTGCCCCACCTTTCATCAGGGAGTTGCAAAAGAAGACCTTTAATCTTGTATAAAGCCTCCTTCTCTATTACAAATACTGTGATTTTTCTCTGAACAGGCTCACTAATTTTCATTATGAATTCATTAAGCAGCAAATAAATGCAAGTAGTCATCCAAAGGAACACGGATTTGGCACCTACAAAGCGGCAGACGATAGGCCAGACATCAGGGATCTACAGAGATGGCACCGCAGGCCCCACCCTGGGGATCCCAAGGCCAGAGGGGGAAATAAACACTACTGTGAATCAACAACAGGTTCAAGTGTGCGTGGTCGCGACAGCAAAGGGGCCACTCCTGAGACTTTCCAGGACGGGATTTTTGTGAGGAATCAAAGGTAAAGGTAATGTTAGGAAATCTCCGAAATAATTATTACTGACCCAGATTCTAGGACCATAACGACGACTGCTCCTGGTTTCTGGCTTTCAGATATGCAATATAAATGCCCCGATGACCTTTTTTAAGTCTATGAGGTCAGCTATTCTACCCAGCTAACACCTAACTGGCCCCTGATCTGTCTTCATTTGCATTATCCTACTTTCCAAAGAATTAATCTCTTTTCTTTCATCCGTTCTGACCCAGCCGTTTCCCCACGTTCTTGGTGTCTTTATCACCAAGCTGGTTCTCTCTCTCTCTCCTTAGAAACAAGAGCAAGCAGAGTTTGATTCCAAGGGATAGTCAACTTCATACTTCACTTCCCAGTGAAACTAACACAGATCCTAGAGATGAGTTCACTCACCTTATCCAAGTAGTTCATCACTGCATAGTACAACATGAAAATAATCTTCTGAAGATTTAAAACATTTTATTTTATTATTCTTTTTAATCTTTTTTTAAAAGTTTTTTTAAAAATCTGTCAGAGAGAGCACAAGCAGGGGGGTGTGGCAGGCAGAGGGAGAAGCAGGCTCCCCGCTGAACAAGGAGCCCAATGTGGGACTCGATCGCAGGACCCTGGGATCATGACCTGAGGCAAAGGCAGACGCTTAACCGACTGAGCCACCCAGGCGTCCCAGATTTAAAACATTTTAAAAGATACTGTTCATCCAGTAATTAAAATCAAGATGCCACAGGAACATGTTAAATTTAAAAAAGAAGTTGCTGCTGATATGGTGTTTAAACTACAAATTTCATTCACATATGTCACACATTTATCTACTTAAACCACACTTCAAAAAGGTTAGTCACTAATTGGAAGTTACTCAACTAAGATCTTGGGGAACCGAGTGCCATACTCATGGTCACTTTTGCTATTTGGATTCATTACCATGGGCAGCCGAAATGTGGACTTCAGCTCAGGACCAGCCAAGCCAAGTCTGGCTTATATGGTGACTCTGGAATCATGTCTTCTTCTCTACCTCATTGAGAGCTGATCTATATCCAGAGGGAAGCCCTTCTATTTTAGAACCAGGATAGAACAAATAACCTGCTCTGGGAATACAGGACTGGAGGTAGGGAAGATTTATTTGAAAGTGCTAAACAAAAGTGAAGACAATAAAACTAAGGAACAAAAAGTACTCTGACTCTGGGCCCACTTGGGCTCAATGGAAAATTCTGAAAATATATGTTTTCCTACTAATAACTTATATGACCTTCTTGCCCAAGTATAGAAATCGATGCCTGAGGATGAGCAGATCTCACTGAATGTACCAAAATGAGAAAAGACCAGACCTAAATTTTATCCAAGACTAGAAGGTGCATACAGTTTCTGTTTTAGGGGTACATGAATAATGGCTTAATTTTTCAAGTTAAAAAATGTATTTTAGCACATGTATTTTAGTAGGGGAACTTGTTTACCCTTTTAAGTAATAATTGGCTTTGAAGTTTTGGTAACAAAGCTATGAATAAGCACTTTCCTTTAAAGTCTTAAAAGAAGAGACTGCTTGGAGAGAACAAGCTAGTTAAATATAGTAGGGCCTCTCCCTCTTTAAATCATGTTCCCTGCTCAGTTTTTATAATTGCAATGATCATAATACCTTTTAGGAACTACTTTACAATTACTTCACTTTATTTTCAACAAGCAATAGGAATATAATCTAGGGTTATTAACTCAATAATAAAATTTTAGTAGAGGCTGAGTATTTCAACTTAGGACATTAAAAACATGCTAATTTAGAGCTCAGTTTGCAGATGCTCATAGGTATTTTATCACTTGAGATACAGCAAGCCTTTTTACCAAGAATTTTCTTTTGGATGGTTTAAATGTGTGTAAATACACTGCAATTTAAAATATTCTCATATGAAAGAACACTGACATACCAATTCAGGGGTCTAAAACAATATAACTACTACTTTATCAATGCTATCTGCCCACGGCTGCGAAATGTACACTTCTGTATATAAAGGATACTTGCTATTGCTCATCACCACTCCCACCCCAAAGAAAACCCCCAACAACAAAATCTCTATCTATTGGTAATGGAAGAGCTGGATCAGAAAGACAGGACATGGGACGCCTGGGTGGCTCAGTTGGTTAAGCGTTTGCCTTCGGCTCAGGCCATGATCCCAGGGTCCTGGGATCGAGCCCCACACTGGGCTCCTTGCTCAGCGGGGAGCCTGCTTCTCCCTCTGCTGCTCCCCTTGCTTATGCTCTTTCTCTGACAAATAAATGAATAAAATTAAAAAAAAAAAAAAAAAAGACAGGACATTATTAACATACAGAAACTGCTAAGATATAATAGCTGGGATAACAAGAAAAATCAAAGACCAAAAGAAACAAAACCATTAAAAAAGCAATACCAGAAGTAAAACTTTTAAAGGAGCTGTGTAGTCAGGCACAGACAGAAGTCAACAGAAGACGTTCAAAAGAAATAGAAGGCACCGACTTTAGAATCCAGGAAGCCAAGCTAGGGTCGAGGAGAGAATTCATTTTCACCGAATAGTCAGATTTTGCAAAATCTAGTCAAAACCCGAAAAGTTTAAATGTAACCTGTATCTGTACTTTAGACAAGACACTTAAAAAAAAAAAAAAAAGCCTAATCCACAATTTAGAGTTACAGAACATTAAAAGCCAGGTGCAGAAAGTAAGACCAGCAAATGGGAGGTTGGTCTGGAGACTTTTCCCTTCTTGTCCTGGGGTCGCACCAGGCACAGTGCACAGAGACCAGTTTAATAGGTGCCCCCAGAAGATACCACGGCGCTGCCCCCATGTCCAGCAATGGGCAACACAGGGGCCCCGGGAAGCTTAGCAGCTAACCTGGTACTGGAGGCAAAGACATATTTAAGGAACAGATTTCCGTGTTTTACCGATCATCAACCGGAACAGTTGCTCCATATAACCAACATCACAGCTGAACCCCCTCAAGGACTATATAACTGTAGCTAACCTTTACAGAGTTCTCGCTACATGCCACTCCTACTGCAAACGTTCACACGTACTATTTCCTTTCGTCCTCAGCAGTGCGGTAAAGGAAGGACTATTCTTCCCCTCACTGTCCAGCTGAGGAGATGGGGCAGTTAAGGAACTTAGAGCTGGATTCAGCTCCAGGTCTGTCTCCCTTCAGAGCCCCCCCTCTTCACCAGTGTGTAAGGTCCTATGTAGAAAGTACAAGTAAACTACGGCTGCTAGCTTACAACCAATGTTCTAAAACGCCCGCGATGTATGAAATGATGGGGTGCTCACAGTGAGACACACCGTGGCCTACAGCGTGCACACACACGCACACACTTGGAAATGGCTTGTGTGCACCTCAACCATGCAGATGTACAGAAACCGCTGTGGTGAAAGGTTATGAGCGCCACTTAAAGTGCCTTCAAATGTCCATACACTTTCTTAAATCTGATACATAAAGGTCGTATCAGAAAGTGCCTGAAAAATGACGAGTGGCCAAGTAGGACGACTTCTGTTCCCTTTAGGAGGTTAGAATGTGCTCTAAGTCTATAACCACGGAGTTATTTTTTATTAAGCACAAGACTGATGATCGGAAATGCTAAGATACAAATGAAAAAATACATGCTATGTAAAGAACTTCCTACTTTGGCACCCAAAAAACATGAATAAGAAGTTGTTAGATGGCTTTCATCCTGGGGAACTGGTTTCAGCCTATGATCTACCCTGAGTCAGAAGTCGGGAACTGCAGACTATCTCTGCCACCAACTCCTGTCTTCATGTACACAAATCCCTTCATTATTCAGCACCCCAGTATCAAATGGGAATAATACCTGTTCTGCTAGTTTCATTAAGTTGAAAGGACTGTTTAGTGACAGTATTGATGCTGTGTTTATCTAGGGAACTGTGGCTAAGTGGGTGCTGAACAGCGGATGCTACTTAATTGGGGGAGCCTGGGGGCAAGGGTGCAGTGGTAATGTTAGCCTTTTCAAACTGCTGTCAGACGTTCGAGTGACAATCTCTTTCGAGCCTCATAACCACCCTGGAAATGAGGACAAGTATTGTTAGATAACAAAGAGTTAGGTGACTCTATGGTTAGCCTTAATTCACACAGCTAGTTATGGACAGGGCCCAGAATATAATTTTCCCAACTCCTAATCCAGTGCCTTTTTATTTCTTCTTCTTCTTCTTGTTTTTTTCCCCCCTCTGTTGACTCGACAGTGTAGTCCAGTAGTTAGGAAGGATGGGGCAGGGATGACTGAGAGTCTTCTATCCAACAAAGGTGCAAACACCCTGCACTGATGAACTGGAGAAAACAATTCTCTTTCCTGGCCTGCAGCTTGGAGTTTATGAGATCAAACCACATACCTTGATTTCTGGGAGCTGCATAACTTCAGGAAAGACCTCAATGCAATTAGAATGAGCAATCATGGTGTGCATGCGCCGGCAATTCATGATGGTCGTCGGGATGGCTTTCAGTTTATTCCCACTGATGTCAATTTCTTCAAGTTCCTCCAGTTTTGCCATTTTACTAAAAAAGACAAAATCCAAGGGGCAGGGGGTCAAAAAATAATCATAAGGCAATTTAAGAAGAAAATAATACATAATGAGAATAAAAAGGGAATTTACTATGAGTCTAAAGATCCTTTAAAGATTGACTTGTATAATATACACTTCATGTTAACTATCCTGGAATTAAAAAAAAAGATTCACTTGTAGTAGCCATTTTAACAAATGACCATTTTTCACTACTGTGTTTGAGTATCAAAGTATTTTAACACCTCCTTTCCTACTACAAAACAAAAACTACTAACTTCAACTCTTCAAATTAAGCAAAAATAGAAAAATGGATGTCCCTTTCCTCTTAAAACTGTGTGAATTAAGTTATCTCAGCAACAATAACTATGCTACATAGCTTAGTCTGAACTCCAATAAAAATCCTACTCAAGTGGGTCAAAAGTGAGCATTAGTCCAATATAAGTGCTTTAAAAGAGCTCAGTTTGAGAGAATGATTTCTTTGTATTGGCACTGAGAACTCAAGGGGATGTAGAGGAGAACGGGGCTCGTATGAAGATATGCTTTCTCCTAAAACCCTACTCCCCAAATTCCTCTGACATCATTCGTGATGATAAGGTGGTGGGGAGTATCATCCGGATCATCTCTTGACCTTCTGGCGGTGCCCAAATTTAAACCATACCCAAAAGAAATTTCTCTTACCTCCTGCTAAACACCTACAAAAGCAGACTCTCTCTAACCTTACCTTAATAGCATGTCCTAATATATTGAACACTTTTGTTTAAGAATGTCTTTTATTGTTCAACATTAATTTATAGCTGATCATCATCATAGTAAGTAATAATTATAGTAACCGAATAAAGAAAATTTCAGAGTTAAGGTTTCTTGCCTTTTCTGTAAATCTGGAGGAAAAAACCTTCCACCCCTATAGTCCCTATAATAGCATCTACCACCCTTCTGACTCTTTTTCTACCACTGTTGATGCTCGACTCCAAAAAGCACAGGATTCCCAGCGAGTGTAACTCAAACTTATAATCTGAATCATTCAGTTTACAATTGTTGGTATCTCCTCTGTTTGTTATGGCTATCTGTGTCATAATAAACCTTTAAAAAATTTAGCAAGAAATTTTTATTACTTTTCTTCCTGTCATCTCTCAAATATAAAGGTTATCTTATTTGCTTATCTTGAAAATAAATATATGCCAAAGATACAATAAGAACTAAGTTTTCATATGACGACATCAAGTCTCTTAATATCCTAAACAGCCAACAAGGCATTAGGATGCACTACAAACAACATTGTGTACGTGGACTGTGATGTAATCCAGCTCCGATTGCCTGAATTTGTAAGACTATTACTTTTGGGGAAGAAATATGGAGAAATCAATGAGTAATGGGGCATGAAACATGACTGAAAGTATAGAAATATTTTTTTTCCAACAAAGAAAAAGTTAAAGAAGTTTCCATCCGTCAACATACAAAGAAAGTGGTCAAAGGGCCATACGGCTGGAGCATGTTCTTTCGTTCAGCAACCGGCTGTGGAGTGTCTACCCCAGGCCAGACCTCATAGGAGACGTGGGCCTGATGGAGGCAATTCACAGTCCTGACTCTTAAGGAACTCGGAGTCTTCAAGGGAGTTCCTGTGGCATATCACAATCCCCAGGGAGATAGAAATTATAGCAGAGTGGATTTTTATGAGGTGCATAAAAAAGTTCTCTGTATTTAGGCTGATTACAATGGGCATGGGTCACGGGGGAATACCATCAAAATTTGAGTTGATGACATTTCTCCTGCAGGGCTTACTCACCATCTCAAACAGGACCATGAGTCCTTTCAGAGATATTGTTATGTGATGACCATGTTTTCTTTCAAAAATATCATCTCCTCATTCCATAGTAAAATACTATGTACACAGTAAAAGTACATAGAAGTTAAAAAAAAAAGTACATAGAAATACAGTACACAGAAGAAAAAAAGGTTTAGTCATTAACATCATTAACATCAAATGAGAGGGAAAAAATCAAGAAATAAAGATACACAACAACCACCACCAAACAGAGCAACACTTGAAGTCAGTGCATATTTGCAATGCATAGTGAGGTTTCTGTAGGTTGGGAGCCTTGATGGCTGTGGGGGGCAAGCTGTGCCAATATTTTGCTTTGTCCCAGGGCTGAGCTGTAGTTGGCAGCAGAATGGTAGAGGGGTTAGTGTTTGCTGCTTTGGTGTGTGGATGTGCGTTCCAAGTCCTAACTTGTTAGATGCCAAATGCCAACGACACAGAAGCCTAGTGAATCCTTCCCGGCTCAGTGTGGGGATTCAGCCAAAGTTAGACACAGCGCCACTGCTCCCCAAAATCAGAAGTTCACATTACAACAGAATTAAAAGTGGAATATTCTGAGAGCCATAAATTATTTACAATGCCACAGGGCTTCTGTGGTTGCAGAGACCACAACTGCTTTTTACATCACCGCACAAATATAAAAACCGGAAGCGAATTAAGAACTGTAAGGTATTCTAGTTTATGTTCTAAATTCCTACACACCACAGTAAGGTAATTTTTAAAAAATAATTTGGCTAAAAAGAACCAAAAGAAAAAACATGCCCATGAAATGACAGATCTTATTTCAAAATCACAAGTAACATGGTCGTGATTGGGTCTTGGGATACATTCATACTAGAAAAACTAACACCTTTCTCTTTAGGGAAATGCTAATCATGGCTTAGATGAAAGACAACTGTGAACAAGGATCAGGAGGAACAAGCTTCACGTGATCTGGGAAATAAACATTTTATCTTTTGCTTTTCTATCTACGAATCCATTTTCAGAAATGCAACGAACAACATCCCTCTGTGATCTTCTTTTACCTTGCTGGAAAACTTTGAAGTCGGTTGTAGGCCATGTGAAGGATCTTTAGATGGGGGTGTCCTGTTAACAAGGGCACACATTTATCTGTGAGGTTGTTATTTGTCAAATACAACTCCTGTAAGATGCTGTTCGTCTCTTCAGAAAGAGTGGCTGGAGGAAGGGTTTCCAGTTTGTTTGCAGATGCATTCAGGAATCTCAGGCTACAATGACAAAATTGCAACAAAAATCCCACTGGTAAACCAGATGTCTAGTCCAGGACCCTCAACAAATCTAGAATTTTTCTGACTGATACCTGGAATATTAGAAACTGGATTTAAAAGTAGGCCCTGGCTTTACTAGCAGGCATATGGATACATGACTCCACTATCTATGATGAACACACTAACTATATGTGTTAAATACAAAAAGATAAAAACCAGTTTTTTTTTTTTTTTTTTTTTTGAGAAAGGATTTCTTTTTTTTTTTTTTTTTTTAAGATTTTATTTATTTATTTGACAGAGAGAGACACAGCGAGAGAGGGAACCCAAGCAGGGGGAGAGGGAGAGGGAGAAGCAGGCTTCCCGCAGAGCAGGGAGCCTGATGTGGGACTCGATCCCAGGACCCTGGGATCATGACCTGAGCTGAAGGCAGTCGCTTAACCAACTGAGCCACCCAGGCGCCCAAAACCAGTTTTTATGGAAGCACAAAGGTGAGAGGAAGGGATTAATTTTATAGCTGGTAGGGAGTGGAAGGGAAAGTGATAAAGTAATGTTATTATTCTGCCTTAAGGAAGAGAAAACAATTGCGTATTTTTAAATAAAAGAGCCCTTTGAGTAATAAACCAATTAGACCTTAGGTCACAATACAACGAAATCACATACTGACTAAGTCCTTTTCAGTATGGGGCCCAAACCACATCTTACTGACATGTGTTCACAACTGCAGGCGACACTTGGCTCTGTATTGACTACTATATAGCAGTGAGAATGAAAAACGGCAACCACACACACCAGCAGGATGATGCTCACAAATAGGAGAGCGAAAGGAGTGATACCAGAGTATTCGCTGCATGAGTCCATAATTATCAAATTCAAAGCTGGGCAAAACTAACGTACGGGGCGTCTGGGTGGCTCAGTCATTAAGTGCCCGACTCTTGACTTCGGCTCAGGTCATGATCTCAGGGTTATGGGATCGAGCCCTGCTTCGGGCTCTGCGCTCAGTGGGGAGTCTGAGTTTCTCTCCCTCTCCCTTTGCCCCTTCCCCAAGCACACACCCTCACTCTCTAAAATAAATAAATCTTTAAACAAAACAAAACAAATCAACTAATGTATGCTATTAGAAGTCAGGGAAGGGAAGTAGTGTCTGGGAGAGCGCTTCTAATTTTTCTAATACAATGTTTTGGTTCTTGATCTGGGTGCTGGTTACACAAGCGTGTTCACTTAATTCATCAAGTGCTACACTTATGATTTGGTCCCTTTTCTGTATTTATATTTCAATAAGATTTACATTAAAATAAACAAACAAGGTGTATATGCTGCCCCAGTTATCCAGATGACAGAGTGAAAATGGCTAAAATATGAAGAATGTTTTTACACCCCAGCTAACTAAAATCACATAATCCTTCCATAGTTATTGTGAAACACAGATAAACGTAAAACGTGAAGCTGGAGAACTGAAGCAGAATCCTTGCTGTGATCAGGCTCCATGTCACTGGAAAGAGAAGGGAAGGACAGAGCAGGTACTGTGCCTGGCTCGTGAGTCACACAGGTGACCCTCCAGCTTCACAATGGACGTGCACTGTGTGGGCTCCACTGGGAAGCCGCAGCATCCGGAATGTGGAGAGTGTTCTGCCCATCACACTCTCCACTATGGTTACCAAGGTCAAAGCCACCTTGCCTCCCCATCTGGAAAAGCCTGTTAATGAACCACCTTTGTCTTGTTTCACAACCACCCGGGTTTGAAACTTTCAGCGTCCAATTCAGGACTGCTTTGCCATATGTTAGGAAAAAGAATAAAATCTTCCTTAAAGAAAAAGACTATGGAATACGAGGTATAGTTATTTTTACCCTTGGACCAAAAGAAGGCTTTGTATTCAGGAGTCATCACCAGGACTGTCATGCCAAGCTCTCAATCCACTAATCCTGCCCATTCTTGCAAACCCCCCACACATACTTACACACACACTCCAATTCCACTACTTGTCTAAGGAAAAGCAGCTTCCCCAAAATAGAACATTTTCCATTAAAGAAACACGTATTCCGTTGACATTTAAAAAAAAAAAAAAAAGGATGTTAGAAAGGGCTGTACAGACCATAAATAGTCATGGGAAATTATAGTTGTGTGTGCTACACAGAAGAAAATAAAGGTCATTCATGCAGTTTCTGAAATGGTTTTGAACTAGGAAGGAAACCAATTTCAGCACCGTAGTTCTTCAAAGTATTTTTACAAATCTGTTTTGTTATATCACCTGACTTAAATACCCTGTTAAGAATTTCTTCAGTCAAGAATTAGAACAAATTAAAATGTATTGCCCTGAAACATCATGGACTGGGGTTGGCTGGGAAACTGTATGACAATCTCATTAAAATATAATGGTCTAGGCAATATATAGTTATGGACGTAAGAAAAGAGAATTCATGAACATTTGCATATCTTCAGACAGGCCAGAAAAGGAGGGAATATTGTTTTGAAAGAAAAAAAGGCTGACTAGTGAATGCTCACCTAGAAAGCTGCCAAAAGGACTCGGAAAATCCCTCACAACATCTCAATGAAGAGAAGAAAGTGATTGCCAAAGAGACTTGTCCTCTCATCAAGATGTTGAAATTTGCTGTACAGAAGGGGCCATATACTCTTTGGTGGGAAATTAAGAGGGAGAAAAAAAAGAAAATCCCACATCCTACCCCGCCAGGAAATGAAACTAAGTTGAAACTACATGGGCTGGTTCCAAAGGATTTGATTTGAACTGAAAGGGCCTGATTGAATCATCTTGTTAGTTAACGGTCAGAGGGCAGACAATTGGGCTACAAAGATTTTTGATTATAATGGTCTCAGGAAAATTCAATTCAAAGACCATTCTCTTAAAAATGAAAACACTTGTCCCCCAACCTCACAATATTTCAGCAGGAGACAAATGCTGCATTTCCACCAGAACGAGCAACTACTTTAATTTTGCAAAATTTCTCCAGTTTGGCTAACAGTTTAACTAAAAAATCAGGGTATATAACCCCACCCACTGCTTTCAAAACCTCCAAAAAATTCCTAAAGCGCTGAGTTTGGTCTCAACTCAAGATGATGTGATAACCTCCTTAAGCCTCTCCCTTATAGATTTTTGTGATAACTGTATAAAAGATAGGAGACTGGTTCACGTGCCAAGAAATGTTTCATCCATATAATCCTCTTCACTAGGCGACCCTCCTCTGCTAGATAGAGAAAAAGCAGTCACATATGACTGCTTTCTATTCACCTGTAAGGTGCTGTGTAGAGACCACAGCTCTTTCCTATTTTCTATTTCATTTTGTTCTCCCATCATCACAGAGATGCCCCCTCATATTTCACCAAAGACAGAAACGCAAGCTGAGAAAGGTCAAATTACTTGGCAATTATTAAACAGTAATTAATGACAAAGCCAGAAATAAAACCCAGACCTCATTAATCTTAAGAGTCCATGATTCCCTAACACATCTCTCCAAAATTCAAATGTTAAAAAACAGTAATAATAAAACATTTTCCTGAGGACATTTTCGTAGGCCCTTCTCTCCTGAAATGCTGGAGGTGAAGCAGGGCACCTGCTGGGTAGTGTGAAAATTACATGTGCACAGTACTTTAAACTCCATCCTTAAGATAACTTGGTACTCAAAAACTTTTCTTAGCAGAAAGTACAAAAGTTGCAGAGAAAAAACTCATGTACAGCTCCTGCCCTAAAGCATTTGGAAAGTTGCCCACAACAGCAGGGAGACAAATCCACTTCCTGCTTCTTGAGCAATTTGCTCTGTTCTTCCTTGGCACATTCTGTCCATCTGCTCTGGCTCATCTAGGTTTTTTTGTTTTGTTTTGTTTTTGTTTGTTTGCTTTTTAGTAATTTCCAGCACACCCTTAAATTTTACAGCCAAATTCTGTCACTGAAACAAAGTGCAGGATTTGGTATCAAAACCGATTTACCTATTTTAAGTATACCAGGCCTTCTGCATTAAAAAAAAAAATTATTTATTTTGGAGAGAGAGAGAGTGCACAAGTGGAGGGAGGGGCAGAGGGAGAGAGAGAATCTCAAGCAGACTCTGGGCTGAGTGCAGAGCCCAACACAGGGCTCAATCTCACGACCCTGAGATCATGGCCTGAGCCGAAACCAAGAGTCAGATGCTCAATGGACTGAGCCACCCATGCACCCCGGCATTCCGCATTTTAATAGTTTTTCTGGAGCTCAGTACTGGGACTTCTATTAAAAATGCAAAAGGTTAAGATTTCAAGCCCAGCAAAACTCTTCTACTTTTACACAAAGCCTTGATTTCTGGCCCCCAAAGTCCCAGAACTGTGAAACACTCTCAATTCCTTATCATCTGTCTATACAGAACAACACTTTTAACAATTTCATCTGTCTTCAGAAGGCTGATAGCTCTTAAGGGAAGGGCTTTCAAATGTTTGATAGTAACCAAGAGTACAAATTACATTTTACATTACCACCCAGTACAGATGCAACATACACATGTATAAGTGAAAGTTTCACAGAAGCACCTGGGTGGCTCAGTCGGTTAAACATCCGACTCTTGATTTGAGCTCGGGTCCTGGTCTTAGAGTTGTGGGATGGAGCCCCGTGTTGGGCTCTGCATTCAGCCCAGAGTCTGCTTGTCCCTCTCCCTCTGTTCCTCCCCCCACCTGCTCTCTATCTCTAAAATAAACAAATAAAATCTTGGGGTGCCTGGGGAGCACAGTCAGTTAAGCACCCAACTCTTGGTTTTGGCTCAGGTCATGATCTCAGGGTCGTGAGACTGAGCCCCATGTTGGGCTCTGCACTCAGCCCAGGGTCTGCTTGAGATTCTCTCTCTCTCTGCCACTCCCGCTTGTGCTCTCTCTAAAATAAATAAAATCTTTTAAAAATAAATAATAAATAAAATCTTTTTTAAAAAGTAGAAAAAAAAGTTTCACAATCACTACTTAATCTGACTCTATTCGTTTCTATCCTACTTAATTTTTTAAAGTGTTGGTAGAAACCCACTAAATTAATGTT